GCAGGGCCTGGTGGAGGGCGACGGGGGTGGGACTTGGGGACAATTATGAGCATCTCGGCCCATGTGTGGGTGGGTGAGAGGGAAGTGGATCGAGGCCGAGGTTTGGGCGCCTATAGGTGGCGACGCTGGGGAAGGGGTGGCGAGTTGCCAGGAGCAGGTCCCAGCAGGCTGCGTAACGGTCCAGGACCTGGGATGCTGACCAGTCTGTCTCCTCATTAGGTGCAGGATGGACAAGAGGGACAAGTCCAGGGCAGGGGCCGCCGCGCGGACGCCGGCTTCTCGCCCTTCCGGCCTTGCGACCCCCAGGCCCCCAGGGTCTCCAAGACCCCCTCCTCCAGTAACCAGCGCAGCTCTCCGAGTACTGGGAGCAGCGGGAGCTGCAGGGCGAGGGCCCCTGGCCGACAGAGCCGGGGGCATCCGGGCAGCCGTTCTCCCGGAAGCAACTCCCCGCGTGGGACCCATGCGGAGCGCGGGGACAGGTCCCCGGAGCCCAGGTACCCCAGCCTCTTTCGCCGATTCCAACCCCGTATCCCTGTCCCCCTTTCATTCTGAGGCACCAGCCTCCCCCTGCTTTTTCCGATCACCGCATAGACTGGCCCTCACCCTTCCTCCCCCGCAGCCTCCAGGCCCCCAGTGGCAGGGCGAGGGGAGCGAACCTCGGCCAAGACCTCCAGTCTGGGCTCTATCTCTAGCCCAGGAAGTGCAAGTGGGGCCACCAGGTAACATGCCTTCCCTCTTTCCTTAGGCAAGGGTTACTGTCACTCTCTGGAACCTTTTAATTTTACACATGAATTGGGGCGTGGGAACACTTGCAGATCACTGGGCTCAAATTGGTGGACAATGAGCCCATATGCCCCACTTCACAGTTGGGAAAATGTGGACTTGGGAGGTCAAACAAGAAGGGGGTGGCTCTACCCTGAGTACCTTCCCTCCAACCCTCAGGCTAGGCCTTCTAGGGCAGAAGGGGCTCCGGCTCCCAGCTGAGGAACCTGTGGGCAGAGGGAAAACCCCAGAAGCTCCCAGAAGGAGCGCCCTGAATGCAGGGGCCGGGAGAGGTACGTTTCCTGGGGAGGGAGGTGCGGGGTTCCTGGGCAGTGAGGGGGACCAGCCTGGGAATATCGATGACCCTTTGGCCTTCTGCTTTATCCCCAGACTCTTCCCGGCCCACCCCAGGAGTCCCCTCCCCAGCCATCTCCCGTCGGACCCGAGGTGCGGGCGCTGAGGTGGGGCTTCCTCGGGCAGCCTCGAATGCCCGTCCCCGGGCTCTGATTGAGGTCCCCAGGAAATCAGTGAGCAGCGCCCTAGAACGCAGCAGCACCGCGGAGCCGAGCTCTGCCGCCAGGAGGAGACCCAGCGCCGGCGGGGGCCTCCAGAGGCCAGCCTCGCGCCCCCTGGGCTCCAGCATCACCCCTTTGTCCTCCCCAGCCCGCTCTGGGGCCTCGTTGGGTTTAACACCCCGAGCTCTGGGGCACCCTTCGCAACACAAGTCGAAAGGGCTGCAGGCTGTGCGCCCCCCGCAGGTCGCACCCCTAAGGAAGGGCGCAGCCAACTTGCAGAGCCTTTCTTCTTTGGCCTCATCTCCTCCCTGTCCAAACGCACAACTGATACAGCCTACCGATATCACAGCGACTCCTCTGCGGGATGCGCTCCCGCCCTCTCCACCGACCACGCCTCCTTCCCAAGCACTTACACGTCCTTTGGCCACGCCCTTCCCACTAGCCCATCCTCCCCGTGCTCCACTCTCTCTGCAGACCCTTCCCTCTCCGCCGGCCACACCCCCTTTGCAAGCTCCACCCACACACCTGAGTACCTCGTTACCCGAGGCACCGGCCTCTCCCACCGCCACTTTTCTGGCTCCGTTCTCTCCTGCAGGTTCACCCCCTCCGCAGAATACGCCCCCCACCCAGACTTCTCCGTCTTTGTCCCCTCTTTTGACTCTCCCTTCTCCCTTGACCTCACCTCCTTTGTCAACCCCTCTGCCACCAGCCACGCCCCCTCTACAAACCCCTCTTTCTCAGGCAAGGTTTCTGGGGAACTCACCCTCTTGCCTAGCCACAGCCCCTCTGCAGGACTTTTCTGCTCTGATCACGCCCCCCCCGCGGGCCAGTCCTATGTCTCCGCCCCCTCTCCAGGCCACGCCCTATACACTGGCCACGCTTCCCTCGCAGGACGCTCTGGCCACATCCCTTCTACAGGCCCCTCCCTCCCCGCTAGCCACATCCCCTCTTCAGGCCACTCCTTCTCCTCTGACCCTGCCCACTCTACAGGCCCCACCTTTTCTGGTCTCGTCAGCTCTGCAAGCCCCTCCTTCACTGGCCGCGCCCCCTCCACAGACTCCATCTTCTCTGGATACATTCGCTCCGCAGGCCACTCCCTCTTCTCAGACCCTGCCCCCTCTAAAGGCCCCACATTCTGTGGCCTCACCACCTCTGCAGGACACTTCCTCTCCGGCCATGTCCCCTCTGCAGACAACACCTTTTCTAGGCTCGCCCCCTCTGCAAGCCATGCCTTCTTTCCTGGCTGTGACCCCTATGCAAACCCAACCTCTGGCCTTGCCCCCTCTGCAAGACCCTCCCTCTCCTCCCTTAACCCCTCTGCAAGACCCTCCCTCCCCCCTGCCCACGCCCCCTCCTCCGGCTCCACCTTCTTTGGCCTTGCCCCCTCGGAAGCTCCCACCCTCTCCCCCTGCCTCACCGACTCTGGAGGCACCTCCCTCTCCTCTGGCCACGCCCCTTCAAGCTCAACTTTCCTTGGCCTTGCCCCCTTTGCAGGCCCCCAGCTCTGCCCCTGCCTCACCCACTCTCCAGGCCCCACATCGACCCCCGACCCCGGGTCCCGATGCCCCGATCCCGGGCTCACGGCTGACCCTGGCCCTGACTCCTGTTCCGCCGCCACCACCCTCTCGCAGTCCGTCCAGTACGCTGAGCGGCCCGGACCTGGCGGGCCACAGCAGCAGCGCCACAAGCACGCCGGAGGAGCTGCGCGGCTATGACAGCGGGCCCGAGGGCGGCGCCACAGCCTCCCCTCCCGCCGACGCGGAGCTCGCCGCCTGCCACCCGGCCTCCTGGAGCCGAGGTCCCGCTCCGCCGCTGGCCGTTCGCGGTACCCCGGGTAAGCAGCCCTCCCAACCCCGTGGAGCTGTGGGAGAGGCGACGTATGGGGATGGTAGGTGGGCGGTGTCAGAGGCGAGTCTTCGCTGCTCGAGGGCGGAGCAGTTGGGTCTGGAGGCGGACCCGAGGGCAGGGGCGGGGTTTTGTGGGGGGTGGGGCTTCTCGTTTCCTCTGCCAAGCCTGGCACTATTCCCTGCAGGAGCGTCCCTGCCTTGGCCTCCTGCTGCCGGGTCGGGCTCCGCTGACGGCCTGTGCACCATCTACGAGGCTGAAGGGCCTGAGTCGGCGACCCCGGCCCCAGGCGAGCTGGATCCCGGGCCCGGCGCGGGTGGTGGGAAGGCGGTGGCTGGGTCGGGGGCGGCCTCATGCGGTCCGAAGCCAGCGCGCCTGGGCGAGCTGCCGCTGGGGGCGCTGCAGGCGAGCGTCGTGCAGCACCTGCTGAGCCGTACGCTGCTGTTAGCGGCGGCCGAAGGTGCGGCGGGCAGCAGTGGCGGTGGCCCGGGGAGCTCTGGGGGTGGCGGCAGCTCAGGAGGCGCCCGGACTACGCTCAGCGATGCCGAACTGGGCCGGTGGGCTGAATTGTTGTCTCCCCTGGACGAGTCCCGCGCCAGCATCACGTCGGTCACCAGCTTCTCTCCAGACGACGTGGCTTCTCCGCAGGGTGACTGGACCGTGGTGGAGGTGGAGACCTTCCACTGAGCCGGACCCTAGGCCCGCCCACCACACTCCACCCCTGCCTTAGGAACCGCCCCTCCGGTTACGCCTCTTTGTCTTAGACCCCAGTTGACTCCTTTCAGTCCAGCACTGGGTGAATTGGTCTCAGCCCCCTAGAGCCCTAGAATTTTGGCGCAGGTTCGCGATCCACCCACATCTTTGGCCCAGGTCCTCCCCTTGAGCCCCGCCCCTTTAGCCTAGGCTATGCTCCCACTCCTCTCGAGCCCCACCCCCTCCTTCGGCCTGGATCATACCCAGTGTCCAGTATATTGTCTACCGCTCGCAGCCCAGTTAGCAATAAAGGCTGGACGCTGCAGCTTGTGCACCTTTGCTGTCGCCGCGGGCGTCGGGACTGTGGCATTTACTGAGGATAAGGGGCGCGAGATGCCGAGTCCCTGTAATCTAGCGCAGTGCACCCACCCACGTGCGTGAACGTAGGCTTTTTCCTGCCCTACTTCTGGTGGAAACGTTAGGCGCAGAAGAGACCCAGGTGGGGCCGCGCGGCCGAGTGGGTGAGCCAGTGCGTGGCCAGCGTGGCCAAAAGACCCAAGTTCTTCCCACACTCAACCAGGGGAGCCGGCACTCCTGGAGAGAAGCGGAAGACACGTGAGAAGGGCTCCCTGGGGGTTCGTGGCGAGGGCCCCTCCTCCCGGTGTGCACCCCCTTGCACGCCCCGGGTGTGTGGGAGGGAGCGAGGGGTCACCTGAGATGGTTAGCTTTCCAGTTCCCTCCTGAGAGTGCACTCACTGTACACTGCTCACAGAGGAGGTTGCAGTGCAGGGAAGCCTGCAGCTGGGGGAAGGCTGTCAGGAAGACCAGGTGTAGGGAGTAGGGCCCTCCTGAGACAGAATGGGGAGGGGCCTGTAGCTAAGAAGCAGCCTCTCCCAAAGCTGGTTGGGAGACCATGGTGTCCTCATATTGCCTCTTCTCCAGGTGTCCTCACCATGCCCCTTTATGGCTCACAAACCATGGGCCTCACCTTTCCCCCTAACTTAGGGTATTCTCCCCACGTCCCTCCAGCCGGGTATCCTTCTCTGTGCCCTACAATCAGGGGTCCTTACTAGAACCAACCAATATCTTCATTTGTCTTCCTCCCTCAATAAGAATTCCTTGCCCTTCCTCTTAGTAGCCCAGTCACCCTGACCCTGGAGTCCTCAAGCCCCAGTCCAGGCCCTTCTTCCCAAGTGGCCCTGCAGGAAACACACCCCCAGGCCTTTCCTCCCTGAGGATCTCCCGCTTCACGCCAAGAATGATGGAGGCCTGGGAGGGACCACAATTCCCAGGGCAGGTAAAAGGTCAGAGCGTGAGCCTGTGTTGGGCCCTCAGCCCTGTCTCTGCCCCTAGACCCAGTCCCATAGTCTACCCTGTAGCCAGGTTCCTGTCAGACACAGATCACACAGTCCTGCCCGTCCTCACCCCAGACATGGCCACCTCCTAATCTAGGGTCCAAGGAGAAACTGGCCCTGTCCCAGAGGGGCCATGCCACCTCCACCCCGGAGAGCCAATGTGTGTGTGTGTGGGGGGGGGCACACATGTTCCCTCAAGCTGGAGTTTGGTGGCAGAGGTTCCCTTTCTATTGTAGCTGGGCCCTGGCAAGGATCCAGGGGTCCTTTCCAGCCCAAAGGTAGGGACTGACTCCTGACCTGAGCAGCAAGGGCCTCAAGGCCAACCCCTAGGAGGGAGCAGTGCAGAACCTCAGATAGTTTTTCTGGGACCCTGCCCCATTCTGGGGAGCCAGTGGGGTGGAATTACCCTGTGGGAGCAGGAAACACAGAGTGACTGTGGGGTCTCAGTGTTAAATCTGTATAATGGGAACGATGCATAGACCCATAGGAGCTGTTGAGTGATGGGACAAGCCATAGGATTTGGCTGTTCTGGTGCCTGCTCTTGGCAGGCAGCAGAGTTGGGGACACTTTGTGGGTCCACACTGGATGCTGAGGATCAGGACCTGGCTGGCATCTGCCTGGATCCAACTAAGTTTCTCCCCCCCGGGGAGCTTTCCTTTACCATCCCCAGCTGTCCTCACCAACCCACTGGGACTCTGCCTTAGCTCCATGGGGAACCCCACAAAGGACTCTGACTCTTTGGGTCCCCTTCCCTTAGGATAGCCCCCATTCATTGTCCACACTGCCTGGCTCAGTTTCGTCTCTGCCCTGGCCTCCCCACTTTCCCCCAACACAGTGGTCCATCTGATGGTGCCCCCCTCACCTAAGCCCTCCATGACTCTCCAGTGCCCTCCGTTCAAAGTGAAAACTGGCTCCTGACTGAAGAAGCCCCTTGGCTTGTCCATACTCACTCTCCTGTTCCTTCTTCATAAGCATCATGTACCTTCTGCTGGTCCCTGCCACATCTTGCCTTTATGCTTTTGCCCTTAGAGGCGGCTCTGACACCCTCGCCCTGTTGCCTCCTCCAGGAAGCCTCCTCTGATCTCCCTGCTCACTTAGTCTACTGGGCACTTGCCATGAGCATGGAGGCTCAGCCCCTGCTCCCATGCTGGTGTCTGTCTTCTCCTCCCCCACCCTGGGGACCCCTTAGAGCCAAGTACCCATCGGGCAGAGCACGGGGAGGGCCTCAGGAAGTGTGTGCTGAATGAACATAACCAGATCCCACGTTCCTCCATGTCTCTCAGGGGAGGCCAAGCTGAGTCACCCAGGAGGAAACTCATGTCCCCTGCCCTCGCCATCTCCAGAGCCACCATTCTGAAAATGCTAGGCTATTAGGATGCGTCTATGAGCCTGACATCTAAGGGCTTTTGTGACCTCTTCCCCCCATTCTAATCATCTCTCTCAATCCCCACACTTGCTCACCCTGAACCAGCAAATGCCCTTCCCTTCTCTCATGCTGCACACCAACCTGGGCGCCTCTTTGGTCCCCCTCTGGACTGCTATGACCTCTACCCCTCTGGAAGGCTCCCAAGGGCAAGGACAGTCTGCTCCCCTCCCCAGAGCTTTGCTGGACTAGGGGCTGGGGCTCTGAGGATGCTTGCAATTCCCACTCCCAGGCCTGACCCACTCATCGTCCTTTGTGCATGACTGTGTCAATACACTTTATTTTCCATCCCCGCCTGGGTGACATGTGGAGTGTGAACAGGCAGTGTGCAAAATGGTAGTGGGCAGTGTTGGGGGCACATGGGAGAGCCCTGTGATGCCCACCCTGGTCCCCAGGCTTTGTAACACTGAGGAGCGGGTGGCCAGGAGGAGGTGCTGAGCATGAATCCCCACCCCAAGAGGCACCAGGGACACTGCTTGTGAGGCTGCTCGAGGCTTCAGGAGCCCCAAGAACATCAGCCCCAAGAGTCACAAGGCCTGGGGCAGGGGTGGGGGGGGGTGTGTGTGGGAGAGGGCAGGAGAGCATCATTGGACTTTGGCACCGTTCTTGGCTCTGACTCCGCAGAGACCACGGGACCACCATGAGGGAGGCATGGGGACACTTCTCTGGGCAGCCTTCTCCCTTGGGGCATGGCCCTGGTCAGAGGGTGGGGCTGGGGACCCAGGAAAGGAAGGGAAGTAGAGACTGGGGGCCCCCTGGAGAGGTTAGCCTGGGTCAGGGAGCCCCTCCATCACTGGCGAAGATAGGGTGATGGGAGTGTCTCACAGAGGATGATGTGGGGGGCTGGGGACAGGGGTCTTGTGACTTCCTCACAGCTGCTCTGGCCCCTGAGAAGCAGGGACAGACACTGCCAAGGCCTGGGCTGGTTCCGGCTGGCCATGCACACCCCGGGTGGCCCTGCACACAGTAGGGGGACTTTGGTTTCTGCTGCAGGGGCCATGAGGCCTGCACCAGGCAGGAAAGCCAAGCCTGGCCATCTGTCCCTGGTGGCCAAGGGTCCCCAGGGGCATTGTGGGATGATGACATCCAGCCCAGAATGGCCCCTTCTTCCTCAGGCCTCCAGCCCCTGGGTCCTTCCCAGCAGGGCCATCCTTGTCCCAGAAGGAGGCCTGCTGGGAGGAGGGAGCTTTCTGCTATCCAGTCCTGGGACCTCTGTAGCCTCCGGAGCCCTCACTGTTAAGAGGGGCAGACCCTCCAGGTGATTGGGCCTTGAGGGGTAGGACCAAGATGGTTAAACAGTGCTGGGAAGGGTGGGCCTGCAGAGCGACCCTGAGGATCCTCAGGCTTCAGCTCTGCCCTCTGCACCCTGCAGCGCTGGGCCTCGCCCTCGGGGTGGGCCAAACCGCGGAGGGCATGCAGTTTAAGTGTGGCGTTGGCGCCCCCCATCCCCCAGGCTGTGGGCTTGCGGGCAGGGCCTCAGTTGTCCAGGCCCTGGCTATAGGGCGCGGCCAGCTCGTCAGCGTCGCTGTCTGAGCTGCCCTCGCTGTCCTTCGCCGGCCGCTCCAGACGGCGGAAGAAACGAGCATCGCGCGGGGACAGGGGGTAGAGCGCATCCTGCAGGGCCGCGCCCACGCCCACGCCCAGCAGCTCTTCATCCGACGATGGCAGCGAGTCCTCATCCAGGTGCCGTGCCAGGCCTAGCCCGTCGAAGGCCAGTGGGTCCTCGAAGGGTGGCGGGCCCTTCAGCAGCCGCACCTGGGTCGGGGGACCGGCGCGCGCTGGAGACGTGGACCCACAAGTCCGCGGACGGAGTTGGGCCGCCAGGCACCCTCCTCTCCCGCACCCCAGGCGCTGATGCCCGGCCGCTCACCGGCAATGGACACAGGGCTCTCAGGCCCCTCCCGCGCTCACCTCGGCCTTCAGCTCCTCGATCTGGTCCTTGAGCTCTCGGATGTACTGCGACGAGTCGGAGTGGTTCAGCTGACCCTGGATGCGGCCCTCCTCTCTCTGCCGGCGGGCCAGGGCACAGGGGTCAGGCAGCGCTCCGGCCCGGCGCCCCACCCAATCACCCGGTCCTGCCACTCACCTGGATCTCTAGCTCGGCGATGCGCTGCCGCATCTCAGCCACAGCCGCCATGCTGTCCGCTTCCCGCAGGCGCACGGCCATCACCTCCTCCTTGCTCTGAGGGCAGCGGGGAGAGGGCGGGTCAAGCTTGAGGCGGGGTTGGATGAGGGCAGGGAGGCAGGACCGGGGAAGGGATCACCTTGCACTCAGCCTCGGCCTGCTTGCGGCGGCTTTCGCTCAGTTGCGTCTGCAGCCCCTTGTTCTGCGCGGCTAGGTAATGCAGCTTCTCCTGCAGCGCCGCGCGTTCTGCCTCCACGCGGTTCAGAAGGTTGCGGTGAATGTGGTCCTGGGGGAGAAAGGGATGCGCGGGGATCACCGCCTAGCCAAGGGGCTGGCGGTGGACACCAAGGCCCTCCCCTAGACAGCGGCGCGGCCCACCTGCGTCTCTAGCTCCACCACGCGCTGCCGCAGCTCGCGGCCCTCCGCCAGAGCCTGGGCCTCGCGCAGGCGCACGCTCATCAGCTCGTCCTGCAGCTCGCCCAGGACCAGCTTCCGCGGGGACTCCTTCCAGCGGCCGCCGCGGGACAGATGGGCCTGCCAAGGGAGGGCGGCGGTCAGCACAGGATCCCGAGGTCCAGAGGGCAGCCACCTCGTGGTTGCACGGGCCGCTTCCCGTCCTCCGGCTGGGCCCTCACCTGCCAGGTGTCTGAGAGCTCCTGCAGCTGCAGCTTCAGCTCCCGCGCTGAGGCCACCGCCTCGCCCTCCCGCACCTTGAGTGCTTTCAGCTCCTCCTGCAGCCGGGCCACGTTGTTCTCGTCAGGCAGTGAGCTGTTCCTCTGAGGGGACAGGAATGTTCAGAGCCCAAGGAAGCCGGCAGCCCCGTGACCATTCCTGTGGGCTGAGACCCCATCCCTTGTTCTTCTGGACTCCACCTTGGGCAGCTGGGCTAGAAGAAGGTGCACCCTGGACCCAGGATATGTTGGGAAGGTGGACTGGGCCAGAGGGGAGCAGACCCCACCACCTCTGTGGCCCCGGCCGAAGAGCCTCAACTCGCCTGTAAAATAGCTGTAACAACAGCACCTGTTCTCACAGGACTGGCTTAGGACACCTCATAAAAGTGGGGGGCCTCCATAAATGTTACTGCTAAGGACACCAGGCAGGCTGGGTGAGGGCCAGTCTACCCACCTGGGATTCTGAGACCCACCCCCACGGGGCCCATGACCAGACCTGAGACCTGCCCCAGCGGGAGCTGAGAAGACTGGATTTCAGCACACTGTCCCCTGCCTCCCAGGCAGCCCCTCTTCCTGGGAACCGGCTGAGGGCAGCCTAGGCCCTGTCCTGGCCTCCCAAGGGCTCAGGGATGAGAGATTTGTGTTCCAACCTCTTGGACCAAAATCCAGCTTGCCATCCTAGGACCTCACTGACCCTCGTTTGGGCCTGGGAGTCAAGGGAGGGTGGCAGGATCTACTGGGTGCACATTTCCCTCTGGTGTTGAGGGAAGTGGAAGGAGGCCCAGCTCTGGGCTGGCTAATGGGGGCTGAGAGGCTGATGCCTTCACCAAGGCTGTGGCAGAGACACCTGGGAGGGCACCCAAAAGAGCGCAGGCTCCTGCCGGAGTGAGTGGGTCCTATTGCCCTCTTCTGGGGGTTCCGTGGAAGCTGAGTCAATACCGAGTCAAGGCTGCAGGCAGGAGAGGGCAGCCCCTAGTAGCCCCATTGGGTGATGTCTCCATGGAGGTGGGATTGGGGCGAGCAGCCCTGCTGGGCCTGGGCCTTCCCTTCTCCTCCCCTCCTCCTGGAACTCAGGGCCTGGGGGCGGGGGACACACAGGTGGGACAGGCTGTCCAGGGAGCCCATGAAAGCCACCACACTGCTGGCACTATGCCTGGTGCATGAAGGTGGGTGTGCCCTGGTGTGTGTGTGTGTGTGTGTGTGTGTGTGTGCGCGCGCGCGCATGTGTATGCATGTATCTCCAAGGCTTGGGAGGATCTGGGGGTGAGGGACCCACTTCCCATCTCCCTAGACCCTCCTGTGGAGACCATAGGGGAGGCAGTCTTAGGTTCCTTGGGGACTGCTGGAGCAGGACTCCAGGACACTCCCCACTGATCCCTCTGGCAACCCTTTCTCCTTGGCTCAGGCCTGGTCATGTACTTCCTTAAGCGCAAGCAGCACCCCACCTCCCCTTCCCGAGTCCCCCCAACACCTGCCCACCCAGTCGCACCTTCTCCATATCTAGAACCTTGTCCTGCATCTCCCGTAGGGCTCCCAGTGTCTCCGTCTCCCGCAGTCGTGACTGCTCTAGCTCAGTCTCCAGGTGGGCCACAAAGTCCTCGGTGAGGCGCGGGTTATCCTGGGGGAAGGCAGAGGGCTGCATCAGGCCCCAGGCTTCGGCTGGAGGGTGGGCAGCCTTCTTGCCAGCTGGCTGTGAGCCGAGGCCTTGCCCCCCACTTCCCAGAGGCTCTGGGCTGAGACAGGGGCTTAGGCTGTGGGGAGAGAGGGGGGTGAGGAGAAACCCTGGATACTCTTCCTGTGCCTTTTGCTCTTGTGGGAGGATAGCTGAACCCCATCATGGGGACCCTGATGGCCCAGCCTTGCCTCCTTCCTGGGAAAGCCACACAAAAAGAACCTTCTGAAGGGGATCTTCTGTGGCCTCATGATGCCCCCTGCAGGAATGCTGATGGCTGGTTCCCAGGGTTGCTGGGGTGGGAATGGAGGATGGGTTCTCCAAGACATCCTTCCGGCTGTGTAGTCTGTGGCCTAGCCACATGGTGGGAGTGGGGCAGGTGTGGCTCAGGGCTGTGGCACTCCTGCCCTTCCTTCTCCACCTCCCTCCGTTCCATCCCCATTTCAAAACAGGAAAGGATGGGGAAAGTTTGCTGGGGTACTTCCTGGCTCAGTGCAGAGGCTTCTCAGATGGACGGACACCTGGGCCTGATAAAGGAGATCTAGCTGGTGGGCGAGAAAAGCCCCTGGGGCCAAAGCTGGGTCCCCATCTTGCTGCCTTGGTGGCCTGGCAGGGTGGTTCTCTGGGAGGTTGCCCCAGCCCTCATGGCCACCACCCTCTTCCCCACTGGCCCCCTGCTCAGCTGCCCAGGCTTGCTTGCTCCCCTCAACCACTTTGGGTCTCTGAGATCCATGGGTGCCAGTGGCCCTCCCTTGGCCCAGATGGGCTTCAGGCCCCATGCCGAGCCCCAGCCCTGCCAGGCTGCACCTCCTCCAAGGGCCTCTCCAGGACATGGTGCTCAAGGGCCAGCGTCTACTACACTACCTGCTTCACCCATCTCTGCATCCCCTAAAGGCCAGACAGAGTTCAGGGGTGGCAGGTGAGTGTCTCTCTGACTGGCCTGAAAGGGGACATCATGCCAGTGGTGGGATGAGCCCAGCATCAGTTTCCCCATTGGCCATGCTGCTTCAGAGCAAGGTGGGGCTACAGCACAGGCACATGAGGGGTGGGAGAAGGATGCAGGTGAGAAGTGGTAAAGCCCCTTCCCTGTCCCCAGGAGCAAAGAATCAACTCGAATGCCTGAACCAAGGCCTGCGCCAAGGTCTCCAGGTCTGGGAGGGGGCCCGCTGGAGGGGGCCCTCCCAGCAAACGACTCTTCTTTCTCTCCACCTATTGTTTCTTGAGCATCTGTAGTTTCTCCAAATCAGGGACCCCCACCTCACTTCCAGGCTGTGCTGGCTTCAGGCCTGGACTGCAAGGGGGTGAAGGGGCTGGGGTGCCTACAGCATCTTCCGCTGTCCTTCCAGGGCATGTGCACACACATGCATGCTGAGCTTGGGGCATGCAGCTCCTGGCAGGCCATCAGATAAGGAAGGCAGCATGCTAAGGTGGAGCTGCAGGAAGGTTCTCAAAGCCCCTCTGGGAGAAGCAGACTCTTTGCACAGTGCTCTAACCCAAAGGCCCTCCCATCGCTGAGTTCATTGCCCCACAGCGGACTTGCACTGCCCCCTCAACCCCATCCCACCAGCCCAGAGCAGCGGGCACAGACCAGAGCCTCCTCTGAGGGCGAAGTTCTGGCACTGGGAATGGAGCCCCCTCCTTTGTCCTAACTGCATGGTAATCCTTGCGGAAACCCAACAACCCTGCAGACCTTAGGGAGACGCCAGGGCTCCCCCAGGAATCGCAGGCCCGCCACTCAAGGCCACATATGCCTGTGCCAGGGAGGAGGGCTCTGCAGAGACAGCCTGGTTCTCACGCTGAGACCAGAGGTGGAGGTAGCAGACTGCCTTCCTTATTCTCAATGCAGCAGGCCAAGCACCCCAGTGGGAACGGCAGGCTTCCCCACCACCACCCCGGGTCTGGAGCCGATTGCTGCCGGTGGGACTGGCAGAGAGTCTGCATTCACCTCTGGGTGGTCCCCCCACCCCGCAGTTAGGAACTGGAGGGCTGATCCCCAGCCAGTTGTCCTCGAGCTCTGACCCGCGGCAGCCCCGCCCACCCGGCCGGGTACCTGCTGCTCCTGCAGCTGCCGGATGGTGCTCTGCGCCTTCTGCAGGTCCTCCGTCGCTGAGCTGCACTGCTGCCGCACCACTGCAAGCTCCCGCTTGATGACGTAGTTCTCCTCGGCCTCCTGTGCCCGCGTTACCTGCCCCTGGGCACAGGGAGGACAGGGGTGGGGGGAGGGCCGTGACTCTCTGCTCACACCCCAGGTCCTGCTTGTGGCCCACCTCAGGGAGAGTCCCAGAGTGGGCGGAGGCGGTGTGGGAGAGGGGCGAGATCTCCGGGCACTCTGAGCCCGGAATGGGGCGCCCCACCGGGCCTGGGGATGTGGGTGGGGGATAGGCAGGTACAGGACTCATGGAGGAGCCTGGAGGAAGACACTGGCCCACCACCCGTGGCCTGGACTCTATGGGGCAATAAATGGAGAACCGGCCCCATGCTGGGGCTGCTCTGTCCTTCCTCTCAGCCTCTGTTGGGGAGGAGAAACAAGTCCTTATCCAGGGACGATAGCATACCAGAGGCCAGACTCTGCTGGTGAGAGTGGGGGTCTGGGGGCAGCTGAGGGCTGGCTCCTCCAGGCTAGGTTTGGGAGGTGGAATACACCCTCCTTCCCCCCAGGCTTCTCCAGTCCTGGACCCTGAGGCCTCCACCTGCCAGGGGCTAAGATCCATGCCCCCTCAGCCTCTTCCCCCTCATCCCACCCAGTGTGGGCCCCCTATTCTAGGCTTGGAGCCACCAGGTGGCAGGCAGTAGCTTCCAGATCAAGCCATTCAAGATGAGGCAGCAGCAGAAGCAGATGAGTGAGAGAATATGGCAGGCCTTGCAGGAAGGAGCAGAGAGAAGCATGAGAGGCGAGTAGGGTGTGTGTGTGTGTGTGTGTGTGTGTGTGGGTGGGTGGGTGGGTGGTGGAGAGGCTCAGCACATGCACACACTAAGCTTGTTGCTGATGCACCTTCAGGGGCCCTGAGCCCTCCTGGGTCCCCACCTGTGTCCGTGGGAGGGAAGAAACTTTGTATCCATGTGCATGTAGGTACACTCACAGACACACCCACAGGTGCCACATTTGCACACGTACACCCCCTTTCCCTGGAGGGCCGCCGCTGTTTCCCCTGAGAAGCAGTCCCCAGCCCCCTCATGCATGGCCCCAGGAGGGATGGCAGCAGCCAGGGAAGAGGGGTAACTAGCTGTTATGTGTGGAGACCCAGAAGGAAGTGCGGGAGTGAGATGAAAAGCTACAGTACCTGGATTAACCTATCAGCCAGAGCAGCGCTCTCCTACCGGGCGAGGGGGTTCCCAGCGACAGGGGGAGGAGGCAGAGCAGAAGGCGCAGGGACAGGAGAGAAGGAGAGACAGACAAGAACCACTTGTCACTAATGCAGTGGACTATCTCTAGAAGCAGGGGATACAGGAGTGAGACCAGAGAACCAGAGAACCAGCAGGAGAGGACCCAGAGGAAGACTAAAGCCAGAGCCAGCTCCTTCTAGGAGAGGGCTCTGTGTGAGTGGGGAGGTGGGGGTGCCCATGGCTCTCCCCTCCAGGGCTGGCCAGACTGGGGTCTGCTGGGAAAACTCAGCATATTTCATTTGGAGGCTGACCAAGAATGGAGGCTTTGGGGCAAGGGCAATAAAATCCTGTGGACGATCTACTCCCTGAGGTCAGTGGAGGGTCAAGTGAAATGAGGGTGGAGCACGAATGAAGTGGGGCTCCCCCCTGTGCTCCCATCTTTAAAAACAAGTTTGGGGCCAGGGTCAAGGTTGTGGCACCCCTCCATGGACCTGGTGGCAAGACCAGCCCCACGTCCTCTATTCCCATCTTCTTTCTTTTGAGGGCAAGTCTTCCAAATTACAGGGTGGGGTGCCTTGTGGCCCAGTTCTGGGCACTTCAGTCAAAGCAGCAGTTCTGTCTCCTTCCCACCCAGGCAGTCCAGGAGGGCATTGGACACAAATGAATTAGATTGTGGTGTTTGCAGTTAACTGGGCTATAACTCAACCCTCAGCCCCAAGCTAAGTTTCCCCAAGGCCCTGATTAAACAGCAGCTCAAATCTCAGTGGGGCTCACAGTGGGGCCTGGGGTAGGGGGCTGGCTTGCCCTCTGGCTGCTGGGTCCTGCTCGGACTTGGAGGGTTCTATGCTACAGACTGGTGACCACACCCCTTACCTTCTCCAGCGTTTCAATCCGCTGCTTCAGGAGCCGGTTCTCTGTCCGAAGCCTCTATGTGGGGAGAAGGGAGAGCGTGTCAGATCCTGCCTTCCACTCCAGTACACACAGAGGTCTGTCCTCTGAGGGGCCAGCCCACCTCCAGGCAGTACAGAGCCAGGGCTTACATTCTGGGACAGTGATTCCAGAAAACAGGGCCATTCAGAATGGCCCATTAGATTCTTTTTTAAATAAACCTTGGTTCAGTAAAAATGTGAGTGAATTCGTGGATATGGACTGTGTGTGTTGGGGGGACTGGTGGTCAGTATCCATGCCATCCTTGGAAATCTGTTTCTATCCCACGCTCGGGCCTGTCTCCCACAGGGCAAAGACCTCTGTGTTTTTGGGGAAGCTGCTATCAGATAGCCCCTGCCCCTCACTGCTTTGCCTCTAGCCCAGGATTGATGGTCATTTACTCATGCCATGGCTGGGGAAACTGAGTCAGAGTTGGGCAGCGTGTTGCCTGAACCTCCCAGCTCGCAGGGGTCAGAGCTGTTTCAGGCACAGGTCTCCGTCCCTCAGTGATCTGGAATCCAGAGTTTTGACCCCTGGCCCCTGACCCCTTGACTGCTCTGACCTCTCTTTAGCACAAGCACAGCCATCCTTGGAAGAGCTGGATATGCCTGACTGACTTTTACCTCTCTCCTGCTTACTCCAAAGGGAACACCAGAGGGAGGGAGGGAGCAGGGAGAGAGAGAGAACAAGACTGGGGGTGGGGGGGGCCGGGGAGGCTATATACTAACCAGACTTTTAAATTTTTTTTCTGTATTTTTGATGCTTTGACATCCTGAGGCCTTGCTAATCCTGGAGAGGCTGCCCCTCCCAGGACTAGCTAATTCCTACAGATAGTAAACAACCTGCCTGCTAAGGGCCTTTCACATGCAAAGCAGCCAATCCAGAGCTCCCACCCCCAACTTTTTTTTTTTTCTTAAAGATTTTATTGGGGAATCCGGGAAGGGGAACAGGCTAGTTGCTGTCCTTTTGTTCTTCAGTCTAGTTGTGGAGGACATCGCTTCACTGGCCCATGTTGGTATTATCATTGTGCTCCTCCCGGGCGAGGCAGTCGCTTGCCAGCCATTGGATGGCTGCTCACTGCGGCTCATGGTAGCTCATAAAGGCGCATGCCAGCTGTGGGCCAGCCCCACTGCAGCCTATGCCTCGCAGGCGACTCACACGGCAGCCCAGCTCCAGGTCGAGCTGTTGTTCACCATCTTAGCTGTAGAGGGCGCAGCATCATTGGCCCTCATGTGGGATCCAAACTGGGGCCCTGTTGCTCAGAGCTGGCGTCCCAAGCCAACTCCTAACCAACACGCCACTCGGCCGGCCCCCCAACTCTCTTATTGAACTCTCATATACCAAGCCAACATTTCCCCTGCCTTAAATTGTCCCAGGACAACTAGGGACCACTCTTATAGCCTAGAGCCCTGAAATTATTCAAACTAGCCAATCCTAAACTCGACCAAACTTGTCCACCCTGTCTTGCCCATTGTTTCCCTTGGAAACCACAATAAAGGCTCTGGCCCCTGCTCCCCCCCTTGAGCCCTCTGGCTCCTGACAGACCCCATGTGGCCCTGTATGGCATGGTGTTTCCTGGTGCTTCCCCATGTGGCCTTGTATGGCATGGTGTGCTCCGCCTCTTGGGAACTGTGAGTAATAAACTCTTCTTTCAAAGGCAGTTGTCTCTGTGTTAGTCACCTTACCATACTTGATTAAAACAAATCCCAGGTACATTTAAAACAGGCTAGAGGTAAAAGAGCAAAGGGCAGAGCCGAGGGAGAAGGCATCTGCCCGAAACCTTTAAGGGCTGTGGGCACTCAGTTTCCTCTTGTGGGAAATTCCCAAGCTGGGCACATGGTCTGAGGGTCTGCTGTGTACCTACCTACTGCTGGGCCCTCATAGTCACACTCACACACACACACACACACACACACACACACACACACAAACACACACACGTTTGGACTGGTGCATCAGTCAGGTTGCCATTCCTGAGAAAGGGAGATGCTTAAAAATTCAGGATACAAAACTATTTCTGGAAATCTACAAACAGGGCCCAAACAATGATGTTCTCTTTCCCCCTCAGGTATGAGTGGCAGATGGCCTGGATTCTAATCTAGGGTTTGCCTTTCTAAAGGCGGTAGGGATGATGATGATGGTGGTAGTGGTAGTGATAATAATAATAATTTGAACAACACAGCAAGTGTCATCCCCATTTTGCAGAAGGGGACATTAGGGCTCAGAGAGGTGAATTCACCTTCCCAGATCACACAGCTGGTCTATGGTAGAGTTGGGATTTCAACCCTGGTCTATGAGACTCTAGGGACCAGAGTTCCAGCCATTGTGGGACTCTGCCCCTGAAGAGGACAAAGACAAGCTGTGTTGGGGTTTGTGCTCATGTCTGTCCCCCAACCCCCACTGGACTGGGGGACCCTCAGTCTCTGCTGTGATGGCACATAGTAGGTGCTCAATAAATGTTTGTTGCATGAATAACTAAAATCATGTGTGGAGAGATGAAAGCAGAGGGAAAAAAAGAAGGGAAGTCTGGGTTCAGAGACTGCATGCTCAGGAAACCCCGTGATAATGTGATTTATAATAAGAAATACATATTTGGTCTTCCATCCAGTCCTGGCACAGAGCTCCTAAAACCCTGAGAATTTCCTAAGTGAGAGGGATAAAGGTGTTCTTTTTTATATTAATGAGGCGTCTTTTGGAAAGCCCCTGGGTCACCTAAGGGTGGAGGCTGGTTGTCAGGGGATCCAACCAAGTGTCAGAGGGTTGGAACTGTCAGTCCCACCCCCAGACCTCTGGGGAGGGGAGAGGGCCTGGAAGTTGAATCAGTTGAGGATTGCCAATGATGTAATCAATCGTGTCTGTGTAATGAAACCTCCATAAAAACCCACAGAATGGGGTTCAGAGAGCTTCCAGGTTGGTGAACAGTTGGAGATGCTAAGAGAGTGGTGCCCAGAGGGGGCATGGAAGCTCCACCCCTTCCCCACACCTGGCCCTACTCATCTCTTCCATCTTGCTGTTCCTGAGTTTATCCTTGTTAAAGGCAGCGCTGATCTAGTAAGTAAACTGTTTCTCTGAATTCTGTGAGCCACTCCAGCAAATTAATAGAACTCATGGTGGGGATCATGGGAACTTCTGCTCTATAGCCAGTTGGTCAGAAGCACAGGTGACAACCTGGGCCTGAGGCTGGCTTCTGAAGTGGGGCAGCAGTCTTGTGAGACTGAGCCCTTAAACCTATAGGATCTGACATTGTCCCTAGGTAGATGACATCAGAACAGAGCTGAATTATAGGACATCCAGCTGGTGTTGGAGAGCTGCTTGGTGGTATGGGGAGAACCCCACATATTGGAGTTGGTGACAGAATTGTACCCCTAAAACTAGTTGGGCTGGCAAACAAGGCATCAGGGGGGAACCAGGGGCCATGGGTAAGTGCTGTACCCTGGCCTATACGCCCTGGCATCTGGCCTCTGCCTGCCTCGGGGCTCCCCGCACCCCTGACCTCGGAGTCCCTGCCATTGAGGGCAGCCTTCCTGATGTTCCTCCAGCCCCTCAGGCCCGCTGCTGCACGGGCCTTTGCATTTGACTCCTGGGGCCTGCAGCAATCTTCCCCTGCACATTTTATCCAGAGGGCCCTCTGGAGTCTGTACTCTGTACCTGTTGGTTCACTGGCAGTCTCCCCCCTGTACTGGAAGCCCCATGAGGGCAGGTCCACCTTGTCCACCGCTGTGTCTTCAGTGCCAGGTGGGCCCTCACTCACACACTGGGCAGCTGGGCAGAGGGACAACCCCTCAGAGCCTAAGGACAGTCTGGGGTGCAGCGTGTGTTGGGCAGAGCTGCCCTCTAGTGGCCGCCTGCCTTTAGAGTTGGGAGGGAAGCTCCTAAGGGCAGCTGGTCCCTGTCCGGCTCCCCATCACTATTGCCCCTCCCCCGGGACTCACTTTGATCTCGATCTGCTCCTCCATTTCCTTACTCTTCATGGCTGCATACTCCTTCTCAAGTCTGCAGAGGAGAAAGCTATTGTGGTCACCATCCCGCCCATGGGGACCCCTGTTCCGCCAGCTCCCTGGCTGTCCAAGTACTGACCTCTTCATCTTCTTGGGGTTGTACTTGACTTGGTAAGCCCTGAGGATCAGCTTGTCTGGGCAGCTGTCGAACTGATGGGGGATCACCCTCTGGAAGTACTGTGGGAACATAGGCGGTCCCTGGCATGTGGGCCCTGACTGTGGGGGTCTGCACCCCGCTACCTTGGAGGAGAGCCTGGGTGCTCCAGAGGGAGGGCAGGAGCCAGTCTGCCTGGGAGGTCACCATGTACCCGGTACAGGGCCTGGCCTGCCTGTTGTGGGCGCTCCATCAGTTTGTGGAGCGAGTGAATGAATGTGAGAAGCAGGAATCGGGGAGAAGCTGCTGCAGCCAGGACTTGTGTTTGCAGGGAAAAGCAGGCTGTGGGAGCTCCTGAGGGTGAAGGCCAGGGGTGGGGTGGAGGCGGGGTCTAAGCACAGGCGCCCCAGGGCAATGAGAGGAGACTGAAGAGGTTGTGAAATTGGGGCAGCCAGAAGCAACCTGGAAGGAAGGCCCCTCAGTGGTCCGCCTGCTCACCCAGGGCCCCTGGGGCCTCCTCAAAGGGTTAAGTGTGAGCCACCAATGGACACAGCTTGCTGTGGGTTGGGGCCAGGCTGGCTCCTGTTCCCCAGCCCAGCTGGAGCCTCTGGCAGCTGCGGACAATGGATGCCCGTGTTTGTGGACACAACCATGGCCTTTGTGCATTCTTTCCTGAAGCACCAGCTGGAGGATGCTGGGAGGGGGCAGGGGACTGCATGGTGGAGACATGGAGGTGAGAAGTAGACTGGCCTCTTCTCCAGGAGGCAGGGCGGCTTGGGTGAGGTAGGCCAATGAGGCTGCCCAGACTCATTAGGCCCACCTGTGCCCTCGCCGAAACCATACTCAAGGCCTCATGGTTTGGCTAGTATGACTATTTGCCACATAGGCTTTGGCAAGAGACAGGGGTTGGACCTCCCAGGGCCTGGGCCTTCCTGTCTCCCCTTTGTCGGGCTGCTAGCTCTGGATTGTGTCTAGCAGAGTCTGGGGCTCCTCAGAGCCCACCCTGGTCCTTCAGGGAGGTCTGGGGGCCACAGGGGATGAGAAAAGATAAGGGTGCTCAGGAGCTCCAGGCCCTCCCCCGTCTTGCAGGAGGCTTCACCTGCCCAGGTGCCCCTGCTGGGAGGCAATTCCACCCCACCCTGGGCCCACCTGGGACATGCCCTCCATGTCCAGCTGCATCAGCTCCATCTGGTTCACCTGCAGCAGGGCAAGGCCCACCCGGAACACGATCTCCAGGCCCTGCAAAGGCAGTGGTGACTGTGACTCTGGTCCTGCTCTCCCAGGGAGCTCTCCAATCCCTCCCCAAGTCCCCAACAGCTTCCCCAGCCTGGCGAGGCTTTGTTTCTAGTGTAGGGCCTCTGGAAGAGGAAGGGGCACGAGGGGTCCTGACCTCATACATGAAAATGTCGAAGACACGGGTGGCGACAGGCAGTGGGAAGGTGGTCAGGAAGAGTGTGAGGAACCAAGACGAGGCGTACATGGACGTGTGGAAGCTCTGGGAGCGGAAGTGGGTGTTCAGGTCCGGGAGCTGTTCCTGAGGGGTCATAGGGAGGAGGCCCGGCACAGTGAGAACAGCACTGGGCACAGCTGTCCATGCCCACAGGCTCCCTCCACCCGAAAGTGCTGGGCCTTGGCATCCCTGCCTCCAGGAAGCCTTCCCTGATCTGCCCTGGGCAGCCCTTGGCTCCCTTCTGTGTGCCCTCAGTACTATGTTTGGGTGAAGCTGAAGCATCCCAGAACTCTGAGTAGCACGAAGTGGGGACACAGGAAGGGGTAGTAGAAGTAGCAGCACTTCACAGGTGCTGGGTGTGCGCCATGGGCAGGCACTGGCCAACTGTTCTCCCAGCTCATGGGATCCTTATGACTGTGGACAGGGGACTTCTGAGGCTTGAGATGGGTTTACATAACTCCCCAAGGTCACCCAGAGAGTGAGAGGTGGGGCCTAGTGTGAGCCCACTGCTCACCCTGTATTCCATGACCTGCCAATCTCTGTGTCCCCCTACAACCCCCCGCATGATGCTCTGTACTCAGCAATGCTCAGGGGATGCCTGTCTGATTGGCCTAACTTCAAACTGCTGGAAAGTGGCAGAAACTGGGGAAACAGGCTGGAGAAGGCATTAGGACCCCCTGGATGTCCTTCACTGGGAGAAGGGACTCAGGTGTTCTCTTCCCCCCACGACCTGCCACGGGCTTCCTCCCAGACCCAGGGGCTCCCTGGTACCATCCTGTCCAGATACTTTGCTGTGAGAGCTCTTGGCTAAGCAGCCTGGGGCGGGGCTGCTTCTTCTATGCCCTACCAGGTCCCATTAAGTGACAGCACCTCCCAGTCCTCCAGGCCTGAAGGACGGGGCTTTCATGACTAGGTGTATCCTGGGGCTCGCCTCCCATCTCCCTGCCCACTGCTGCACAGAGCTGCACAGCCCCACCTGTGACAGGCTTCCAGAGCAGTCTGAGAGAGGGTTTGAGAGGGATGTGTGTGTGTGTGTGTGTGTGCGCGCGCGCGCGCGCGCGCGCGCGCACGTTAGCATACACACTCAGCTCTGTCTGCCAGCCAGGAGCAGGCCCTGCGGGGGCTGCTATTTATAAACAGAGAAGTCTGCAACTCTCCCATAATCATCAAAGGCAGGCAGACAACACTTTCCCTCCTCCCGCCACCCCTGGAGCAGACAGGGAGGGGGTCATGGGTGTGTCTGAGGAGAGCCAGCTGAACCCCTCTGCCCTTGGGCTCCGGGGAACCCTCAAGCTCTCAGGAGCTCCCACAGTAAGTGGCTAGCTCTGCTCTGCCCTCTAAGCCTGCTTGGGGGCAGTGCCACACAGCCTCTGGGGACTAGAGCCCTTTTCTAAGCTGGGACGTTTGGACTTGATTTCTCAGCCCTGGAATTTTCAGAGCTGCACTGGGATGGGCTAGGTTAGTGTCCCCACATGTGGGCTGCAGTGTGTGTGCTGCCGGCCACCCGGCACCTCACCTGCAGCATGTACTCAAACTGGTAGATGCATAGCCCCAGTTCAGCCATGCTGGGCTTGAAGAGCTCCCGCAGGCGGTACTCCTGCATCAGCCGCACGAACACGCAGAAGGCCTCCTCCTCAGGCATCTGTGGGAGGACGGGGGCATTAGTGAGGGCAGGTGCTGGGGGTGGGGGGCACTCACTGCTCTTCAAGTACAGTGCTGGCCTGTCTCTGCTCCATTTATGTTTCTTGAATGTGGACTGTGTGGGCTGCCTGGACTCTCACAATGAACCTCTGGTAAATATCATCACCCTTGTTTACCGATGAGAAACCTCCCGAGGCTGAAGTTACCTGCTGAAGGCCGCCTGGCAGGAACAGTAGAGCTGGGACTTGAGTCCTAGGTCTGGCCACCTCCACAGCCCACAGGTGGTCCACTCCCAGCATCTCTGTTCTCCTGTTCCTAAGCCTGCTGGGTTCTCTAGACAAAACCTCCAGCCCCATAAACTCTACAAGAGTCTGGCCTAAGCCCCCTGCTAGAGATCCGTGACCAACCCTGGGAGGTGACTGAGTAGGACAGCCTGTCTCTCCAGTCCCTGGACAGTACAGTGGACAAGACACTGTGTGTCCACCCACCGGGGTCCTGGCCCAGGGACTGTAAGAGGTTGTAGGTGGATGGAAAAGGTGGCTCCGACTCTAGGACACTAGATGGAGGGAACACTCTGCTTTTGTCCACCTCCTGGCAGCAGAGCCCAGATGGGCTGGCTGCTGCCACAGGCCTGGCCCCGGCCACCTACCTGCATGAGGAGCAGGCCCACGATGAAGGCGCTGCCCTGGCAGTAGCCCACCTCCCGGTCCACCAGGGAGTACGCCTGTAAGGAAACGTGGGCATCAGGTCAGGCCCTGCCAGGCCCAGTGACAGCAGGCCAACGGACAGTGCCTCACCTTCATGACATTGAAGAGGACCTCCTGGCCCAGGCTGTCCTGGCCCTTGAAGAACTCGTGCTCCGGGTAGGTGCGGGCAATGTCCCTGCGGATCAGCTTCTCGCATGGCGAGGACATCTTGAGCAGCTCCGAGTACTGGTTCTTGACGGGCATGTCTGTGGCGCTGCACAGAAGCTGCCACACGATGGCCCGGAAGTGGTGCGGAATGCCCTTGCGGATCAGCTCCTGAGGACCAGGTGAGGAGCAGAAGGCCAGGCTGGATGCCATCCCCATGCAGCCTCCCGACGGCCACCTAGTACAGCCGTGAGACGGGGCTTGCCCATGCCACGCATGTGGCCCAGAGCTCAGCTGAGCCTGTGCACTGCAGACGGAGTCCGCACTGCTTCATGTGCTGCCCCCAGTCTGTCATGGAACACAGCAGGCTGGAAACAAATGGGCCTAGCCAGTCCCACCCACGTTGTCACCCTCCCCCGGCCCTGGCAATGTCCCCTGAAACTGCCTGCACATCTCCACTTCTGCCCCTTTGCCTGTACCGGTGTCCCTGGCAGACCCCAGCGCTGCTGTCTGGTGGCTGCGTGACCAGGCCAGCCACCCGTCATCTGCCCCTTGGCCCCAGGCACCCGCCCAGCCCCACCACCCCTGCCACCTTAAGCAGCTTCTCCTTCCTGCGCCGCCACTCCTCCCACTCGTTGGCGATTCGGCCCCATAGGATCCACGTGTCCTCCTCCAGGTGGCTGAGGTTGGAGGAGGCGGAGGAACTGGACACCAGCGAGGAGCCGCTGTTCCGCCGTGAGCCGTTCATGGAGCGCATGGACTTGGAGTCGGCCTCCAGGAGCCTAGGCGGGGCAAGCCAGTGGAGGCAGGTCTGGGCTGCAGGCGCCTCCCACCCATCCCTGGGCTCCAGTGACTCCTGGGGACAGGGGGGGGCTGCTGGGGAACCTGGTCCCTCCTCCTGGGGGCTCCAGAGGTCACTAGGGATTGGGTCTAAGTTGTTCTGTGTAGTCACTGCCAAGAGACCTTGGCCAGTGAACTAACCTCTCTGAGCCATGGTTCACCTCCCTGGGCCCCTGGAGAGGCTACCATTTATTTGTCCCATTCTGTGCCCAGCACTGGGCTGAGAAGCACATGGGTAAGCTCACGGAGTCTCATACCAAACGTGCAGGGCAGGTTTTGTTAAGATCCATGCTTTACAGATGTGGCACAGGGAAGGTGAGCCACAATATAGCAAATGATTGGCTATATGAAGGCCTGGGTTTCTGATGCTTTGACAGCTGGGGCCTCACTGGAGGGCCTGCGCCTCCCTGGCCCTAGCTAATTTCCTAGAGATAGTTAAGGACTCGCTGGACAGTGCGCCTTCTATGTGCAAATCAACCAATCCAGAACCCACAAACCCACCACCTCCGTTATCAGGCTCTCACACTCAGGACCACTATCCCCCTGTCCTGATCACCCCAGGGCCAGGTACCAGACAACTACAGACAGCCCCTCTGCCCCAGAGCCCTCTGAAATTATTTGAACCAGCCAATCCCAGGCCTGCTTACCCTGCCCCACCCGTTCCTTCCCTCAGAAACCACAATAGAGGCACTTGCCCGCATTTCCCCCTGGCTCCCTCTGCCTCCTGACCCACCCTGGTGCCTCCTTGTGGGGCCCTGCATGGGGTGCCCTGCTTCCTGCTTCTAGGGGACTGTGAGTAAGTAACAAACTGTCTTTCCTATGGCAGTCCTCTCCTGATCTGTTGACCTCGCCAGAGCTGAATAATAATAAAGCCACATTTTAAAACAAGGCGAGGGCCAGAGGAGGAAGGTGGGAAGGCCTGCCTCCAGAGTCAGAGGCTTTACTTTTCCATCTAACAGAGGCTTGAGAAGCACAGCCTAGTTCACAGATTCATTCTGCCTCTAGAAACCTCCGTCTCCATCTGACTGGGGAACTCTATTAACCCAGACAACATCCAGTGTCTCTGGTGGGAGCCCTTACTTTGCCTAGGGCTGGGCTCAACTCTGAGTGTGAGGGGGCACCCAGAAACTTCTGTTTGGGACCCAGGCTGCACCCTTGCACTCCCTTCCCATCCCTCAGGCCCCAACTCACCGGTTCTGCTCTTCAAGCTTGGCCAGCAGCTCCAGCTCATCTGGGCTGAGGTTCTCAGAGTCAGAGGTAGGGGAGCAGGTGGGGGCCGACAAGGCCTCTTGGGACGAGGAGTCGGGGCTCAGAGTGGGGCTTGCCATGGTGGGCAGGCTCATCAGCTGCGAGCAGGGCCAGGTCACAGCTCTGTCTGGGGGCGGAGACACATGTGGTCAGCATTAGGTTGAGTGCCCACCCCCTCCTGCCAGCTCTGGGCCAACTGAGCCTGCTGCTCACCTGGGGACATTTCATCACTCTGGGCTCCCCACCTCTGGTCTGTCCACTCGGTGTACCCCTTGTTCCTATGCACCCCAGCCTACCTGACAGCTGCACCAGTGACTTGTACACAGACGCTGGCTACTGGGATCCCTGCCTGTGCAGTCCAGATGCCTGGACAGAGATAGGAGGACCATGCCAGGGCCCAAGCTGTCCTGTTGTCCTGGGCATGAAGGCCAAGGATCGACTCCACACCCGAGCCTTCAGCAGGGCTCGGGGCCGAGGCTCCCTCACTCAGGGCCCTTGCTGGAAACTTGGGGTGCAGGAGCCCCTGTTTTGGCAGCCCTTCCTGACAGTCTTGCTCCCTGTCCCCTACTGTGGCCTACCCTGGGAGGCCTGCCTCAGCATCTGACCTTTCCTGTCTCATCAACCAAAGTGGGCTGCTGGCACAACCAGAAGCAATTACTCTCTACTGATAATTGTCAGTGCTGCCAGTGCCCAGAAGTGTTGACTCCCTTTGGGCTAAGAGGCCAGAGACATGTCAAAGTGCTGGAAATTTGTGCCCTGATGGACACACAGTGAGAGCTGCAGGCTCTGATGGGTAACCTGATCTTGGCCTGCCCTGTGCCAGGCAGGTGCCAGGTCATCTCTCCTATTCTTCTTGGGGATAGTCTGGGCCCACCTTCCTGAGGGTTCCAAGGACACTGGCCTCTTGCCTTATGCAAGCCCCATGAAAGGCAGCACAGCACCATACCCAAAGCTAAGGTTCTGGACTCAGATGGACCTGTGTCTAAAACGTGGCACTCCTTCAACCAGCTGTGTGGTTTTGGGCCAGTCACTTGGCTTCTCTAAGTCTGCACAGACTGAGGATCATATAGAACTGAGGGTGACTGTAAGAACTGAGCATGCTACTGCACATGCTGTATAAGAACAGTGCTTGATACTTAGTGATCGCTCCACAAATGATGGCTATTATTACCCATCCTGAGGGCTAGCTGGGAACCAGGGCTCCGGGGTTCTGCTACGCCTGGTTCGGGATACCTGCAGGGGTTGGCATCACCCTGGTGGGAGGTTCTAGGGATCAGGAACAGCTATGAAAGGGAAGGCCACTAGGCACTGGGGACAATTTTCCTTCTGCTCAGTCCCATTACTTTTGGTGAGCCCAGGTTGGCACCAAGGGTATAAGATAGGGATCTCCAGGGCTATAGAAACAGGAAGATGATCCTGCTCCCCCCACTGCCACTTCATGCCCACTGCATGCTCAATACCAGAGGTCCACTGTGTGCCCTTGGACCCCACCTGGCCTGGCTCTGACAGCTCAGCTTGCATAGGGGTCTTTGCCTGGTCCCTGGAGAGGGGGGAACTGGTCCACTGGGCGGCAGGGAGATAGTAAAGGATGACAGCAGACCCCTTCACACCTGCCTGGCCACCCTTAGGTCACTGGGAACCTTCCTGCAGTCTGAGCTCAGCCTCCAGTCAATACCCAGGGATTGGCTGGACTTGACCCTGGCCTCCTTCCTTTGTGCTGGCCTCCCTCCTGCCCTGTCATGGGAGTGTGGGGGGGAGAGGGTGCATTCTTTTTTTTACCTTGTGGGTGGCCCAGAACCCTCCCTCCTCAGGGCTCTGTGACTCCCCAGGGCCACTAGTTCTGCCTCTGGGCCCCGAGGGCTCCCCTAGTCTGCTGGGTGCCAAAGGCTCTGGCTTTTGGTAAGTTGTACAAACTCTAAGTGGCAGTTCCTGGCAGAACCGGAAGACCTCTTACTTCCATTGCCCAGCCAGCCAGGGACCACCTGCTCCAAAGACCAAGCCATGTGCACCACCTAGCCAGGAGTTAATCATTCCTGAAAGGGGGACAGTGGGGGCTGCTCCAGGGTCTCCTGCAGAGTCAAGTCTGTGGCCGACCAGGGCAGAGACAGGCTGTGGACAAGAAGTGCTGACCTGGAAGGATCTCTCTGGGCAGAGCAGGGCTGGGAAGGCTGCATGGGTTTCCTAGCTTCAGAGTTGGGCGGTGGGAAAGAGGGGGTGGAGGTGAGAATTAGAGCCTCAGAAGTACAGCTGGATTTGGGGAGAAGCAGGGGCTTCAGATTGCACTGATCTGCCCCCTCCCCCAAAGAACCCAAGAAAATGGTTCATGTCTGGGTTTCCGAAAAAAACAACAACCAAGGACCATCCACTAGCAGAGTGTGTTCAGCTATTTATCACATAAGAATGTGTATTTCATACAGGAAATAAAATTGACTCACTACTCAGGGCTGAAATTTGCAGTCCGAGAGGCAGAAACTTCTGATACCTCAGGAACTTTCTCTTGACTCATCCCCAGACTCTCTAAACATTGCCTGGCACCGGAAGCCATCCTCCTGATTAACACGCACGCAAGCGCGCACACACACTCACACAGACACACTTATTCACACTCATATCGGCAGATACACACACATTCTCACACCCATACTCAACTCACACACTCAAATATGCAGGCAGACACACACTCATGCACCTTCACATTCACACTAACACAGAATCTCACACCCATACACAGACACACACTCAGATATGCACATACATTCACACACTATTTCACACCCATGCATACTCTTGCATGCCCCCCCCCCCACACACTTTCTGCACTGATAAGGCCTTGCCACCCTTGTAACCGAGTAGATTGGGCTGGACCCTGGCTTGCTGCCATCCTAGTTCTGTGGGCAGCCCTGCCTCCCTCTCCAGAGGGCCATAACTCTTACTGGCTCAACCATTCCTTTCCTGGCACTTACCGAGGGCCATCTGAGGGCCAGGCACTGATCTAGGCATGGAACATTGAGTGGAATGAGGTGACAAGACCCCACCTCCACAGGGTATGCACCCATTCCTCCCTTACTGGATGGGCACAGGGACACAGAGACAAAGCAGGTCCCCTCGAATGCTGAGGGGCCACCTCGTCTGAGATCCACACACATGTCCCCTCTCAATGTCCCCAGTTTCAATGCCCTTTGCCTCTGCTCTACCTCAGCCACCCAAAGGGGGACCCTGGCCCCTATAGAGTGGGTAGTGTGCCACCTAACCCTGGCCCTGCTGGCACCACCATCTGCCATACTCCCATAGGGCAGCCTATGGCTTAAGAACCTAAGCAAGACAGAGGGGTGGGAAGAGGCTAAGCTGGTGAGCTGGGATACGGGGCATGGGGGCAGAAAGGTCCAGATGCCAGATGGCTCCACCTCTTTCTCCCCTCCCTCTCTCCTCTCAGAGCACTGGACATTGCTGGTCATGCCTCCTCCTTCTTGAAGTTCTCTCCCCCCCAGTTTCCAAGAGGCAGGGCTCCTGGGGCTCCTGCTCCACCCAGGGCTTCTCAGCCTCCCACATGGTGCCTCTTCCCCTGCAGGCCCTGCTTCAGCCCTTGTCTCTTCAGGCCCTTGGTTATCTCAGTCTCACGGCTTAAATGACCAAATACATGTTGGCGATTGTAACATCTCCATTCCCAGCTTTTTCTTACTCCTGATCACTGGCTGAGATTGACAACTGGCTCCCGAGCATCTCCATCAGACCCCCTGCCAGGGCAGGGATCACCACTCTCTGGGTCCCTACTATTGCAGTGTCCCCTGCTGAACCTGGTACAACCTAAAAGTCAAGACATTTTTGAGGAATTGAACCCACCTGCCCACCCACTAATATTTACTGGATGTCTACCAGGTGCCAGGCACCATACTGAGTGCTAGAGGCTGGTGGGTAAAGAACACAGCCTCTGCTCACTCAGGGGGAAGAGACCAAGAAATGGTCATCCAAACTTTCTATTACAGATTGGAACAAAAGATTAGGTAGAGTGGTAAACACTCTGGCAGTTCCTCAAAAAGCTAAACAACAGCGTTATCATATGACACAGCAATTCCTCTCCTAGGTATCTACCCAAGAGAATGGAAGACATAACTCCACACGAGAACTTATACACGACTGTTTGCAGCAGCATTATTCACAACAGCCAACAAGTGGACACCACCCAAATGTCCACTGATAGATGATGGAGACACAAAGTATGGTCCATCCATACAATGGAATGTTATTCAGCCATGAAAAGGAAGAAAGCTCTGATATGTGCTATATCATGGATGGACCTCAAAGACATGATGCAGAGTGAAAGAAGTCAGACATGAAAAACCACAAGTGACATGATTCCATTTACATGAAATGTCCAGAATAGGTAGGTCCTTAGAGATAGAAAGTCAATTAGTGGTTGCTGGGAGCTGGTGCCTGTGGGGTGATGAGTATGGGCAAGAAACTGCTTACAGGATTTCTTTTTGGGGGGTAATGAAGTGTTCTGGAATTAGACAGTGGTGACTGTTATACAACTTTGTGAATATACTAAGACCCACTGAATTGCTCAGTTTAAAAGGGTAAATTTTATGTTATATGAATTATATTTCAGTTAAAAAGAAGATAAGGGATGGAGTGGCTGGCAGAGAAACCTGGTACAGAAGCAGTGGAGAGGGGTGGCTGCAACTCCTTAAGTGACTAGACAGTTCTGCAGGGGCCAGAACCCAACGGGGCCTTGTGAGCCAACGCAGGAGCCTGACTGGGCTTGCATTTTAGGAAACCCTCCTGGCTCCCAGCGTGGAGACATTCCTCCAAGTCAACTCTCTCCTCTAATGCTGGCCCCTCCTCCTGCTGCAGGTGGGCCTACCTGGTCTATGGTGCTGCTGTCCACCACTCAGGCCAGGCCTGGTGCTTGCCCTAAACCCTTCTGCTGCTCCCTACTGTGACATGGAGCCCAAATGCTTTTGCACGGTGTACACAGCCCTGCCAGCTTCGCCTCTTCTCGCATCCCAGCCCCACCACACTCAGCCCATCAGGAGCACATCTTTCTTCCTGCCCGTGTCTTAGCACATGCTATTCCCTCTGACTGGAAAGGCATTCTCCAAGACCTGGTTTCAATATTCTCTTCTGTGAAATCTTTCCTGTCAACCCCTGCTCCAGTGTCCTGGCTCACTTCTCTCCTCTCCTTCCCTGAAAATACCTACCCCCTAGCCCAAGACATGTTCTGTGGTAGTGACCTCTGTACATGCCTGCCTGCCCTACTGGGGCATTCTGAGTGCAAGGGCCTATCTTCTTAATTTTTCTACTCTAAGCCCCTAACACAGCACCTGGCCTTTAGTAGGTGCTCTGTAAATGTCTGCTGAATGAATGAAGACAAAAGTTTCTGTGCTGCTCAGCCAGATGACCGGTGGTGATAAGTCATGTTTAGAGCATGTGCCCTTGGTGACGGGTGGAGAAGGGCACTTTTTTCCCAAAACACATCACCCCAGTTTAACTATGAGAAAATTGTGTGACAAATCCAGATTAAGGGACATTTTAGAAAATTCCTGACTAGTCCTCTTCAAAACTGACAAGGTCATCAAAAACAAAGGAAGTCTGTCCTAGCCAAGAGGAGTCTAAGTAGACGTGATGATGAAATGTCATGTGGGATCCAGGATGGGATCCTGGAACAGAAAAAGGATATTATGGTAAAACTACAGAGATCTGAATAAAGTGTGGATTGTAGTTAATGATAATGCATCACTATTGGTCCATTAATTATAACAAAGGTACCAGGCTACCACCCTAAGATGCAACTATTAGGGAAAAGTGGGTGTGGGGGTCTGTGGGAACTCTGCACAATCTTCTCAATTTTTCTGTAAATCTAAAACTTTTCTAAAAAATAAAGTCTATCTTAAAAATTAAAAAGAGAGAAAGATGTTGTACTAGCATAGACAGAAAAGTAAAGGTCAGCTCTGACACATGAGAGGTGCCACTGTGAGCAGAAGGTCACAGGGTCCCTTGACTAGACCACAGGGGAAGAAGAATTTGCACTTGGATTTCTGACTCCTGAGCCTTTGCCTTACATTGATCTACTGTGCTGCCACTCTCTCTGCTTCTTTTACTGGAGAAATAATATACGGGAAGCACCGAGTGTCGTGGGCACTCAGTAAACAGCAGTCATTATTTTTCAACAGGGAGAGTGAATGCGTATGCGCCATCTTTCAGAGCTTGGTATTTTTAGAGGAATAAAGGCCTCAAGTTTTCTTTAATTTTGGCTTCCTCCCTCCCCTCCCCACACTGATCTGAATCTGAAGCTTTGAAAGATGCCAGGTGATCCCATTTGCCCAGCAGACCACCATGGCCCTGCCTGGCTTCAACTCCAGGAAATGGCCTGGCATTTCCTTGGCAAGGGGTAGGTAACTCATGGGCCAGCTGCTCATCAGGTAACAAGGACAGCAGCTGGAATTCAGGGGTCCTGCCCTCATCTTGTCACCAGTTATAGTTGCTCCTCCATGCTACTTTGGATGTTTCCACATGCACATATCATGGCTGTGTGTGTGGCTAACTCATTCCAGACCTCCTGGCTTCCTATGAGGACTTCAGAGTCTGCAGCCTGGGCTCAAATCCCTCCTCTATCACTTTCTATCTGTGAACTTGGGTACAATGCACTTTGCCTCAGTTTCTTCTTCTGGAAACAGGGCTAATGATAGCACTTACTTCACCAGTTTTATTGGGAGGAATACCTGAGTTAAAACCTGTCATGTGTTTGGGACAGAAGCTGGCCCATAATATTTACTCCCTGATGGATAGAAAGTTCCATGAGGGAAGGGGCTGTCCAGCCCACTACTGGATCCTAGCATTTAGCACACCACCAGGCACCCAATATTAGTGAAATCAATAAACAAATCTTCCCTCCTTGGTAGGCCCACCCCTTATGTGGTGACCCTGTTTAAAGATTAAACTTAGTAAAACTATAATCATCATTATTGGTCATAAATGCAGCAGCAGCAAATACCTTCAGGCTAAAATCTGAGGGGCGGATGCTTCTGACCTGTAGAATCCCTTCTGACCTAAAAAAAAAAAAAAAAAAAAGTTTACTACCCTGTATAGTCACCAGCTTACTTTCGGCCACCAAAACAAGTTCATTCCAGAAAAATCCTTCATTTCCCTATACCCTTGTGTCCCTGAGAATGACAAAGGAAAAAATGTAAAGCCCTCATAAGCCTTCCAGGGACAAGTGAATAAGACAGATACCATCTTGCAAAGGTTCTTAGCTCTTCAAGGCCAAGATGATATCTTTCCTGCTACAAAGGTTCGCTGGGCCTGGGGGCAGGGGTGAGGTGGGTCTGCCCTGCCTTTCAAAGCTCCCCAAGGCTGACTGATGACCTCTAAGCTCCAGGCACTTTCAAAAGCTGGTAAGTAGAGACAACTGTCAGCTTCTAAAACCAACCAAGCATTTACTGAGCATCTGCTACATGCCCTAGACTTGACTTGCCTGGGACTCAACTATGAGCAGACACCTGCCCTGACCTCGTGGGACTGGTGGGCTGGTGTGGGAGACAGACCTCAACGAAACAATCTCACAAACACTTTCGGTGCGCTGAGAAATGGAAGAAAGTGCAAGCAAGTTGTGCCAACAGAGCCTTAGAAATCTCCCTGGAAGGGGTCACTCTTCCTTGGCCCTAGTGGGTTACTCCTCCTAACTAACCTCCCTCCTTCCACTGCCTCCATTTGGCTTCTGCGGCATATGTGCTGCACACTTCCCCAGGCAGGGTGGGGTTTACTGCCTTTCTGAGTCCTTCCAACTACACATCACCATGACCAGGGAGTGTCCATGGTGTAGGTCCCGTGGATCGCCTTTGGAACATGAAGGCTGATACGATGAGGCCCATCAAACGAGGCATGCTTCCCTGAATGCACTGTACTTGCTCCTGTTTCCTGGGCCTCTGTCCAAGCACTTTGGCTGCCTGGAACACCCCATACGTCATCCCTGCTCTGCCTTCCCTGACACCCCAGAAATGCGCAGGGCCCATTCCTGTGCTCCCACAGCAGCATGTTGTATGCAATTCTTCCCATGCTTCCACACAGCGGGCAGCAGGACATGATGGTAAGGGCATGGCGTTAGAATCCCAGTTCCTCCAGGTTGTCTGTTGGATTAAATGAGATACTATGTAAATGGTGCTTGGCACAGGGCCTGGCACGTGGCGTGGGCCTGATCAGCATGCACTACAGGTTCCAGCTCTTGTCTCATGATGTTGAGAGGATCTTTAGATGCAGAGCTGGGACCACCTCTATATTCCTTCAGACCCCAGAATCTGACTCAATTCCTGGCATGTGGTGGGGCTTCTGTTGGAACAATCAGCATCTATATTCTGCATAAAGACGTTGAGATCACATTCCCCCTTGGCTCCTGCACCTATCAAAGCACATACACAGAGACACAGACCTGTACCCCAGCCTAGGATAAAAATGCATTGATATCATTCACAAGTCCTCCCCGGGAGCTTTCTTGTTTTCCTAAGGAGCTCACAGTCTCTCCTGGAGAGTGTTCTGACCCCACTACACCCTCACAAAGTTCCACCCTGGGGAGGCTATGGAGTTTGCTTCCTGCGTGCCTCATGACCTTCAGGAGTCTTTTCATTTACTCCTCCCTTCAGCAAGTGGGCAGAACAGACCTCTCCCTATTCAGCATCAGTGGTCCACATGGGATATAGGCACTGCCACAAGCAGGCCCCTATTGCCCTCTGTCCCCAACACAACAGACCATCTCTCAGCCTGATTCAAGCAGGCTTCCTGTGGGGCAGCTTGGCCACAGAAAGTCAGCCATTATCCAGTGAGGCATCACCTAATTACAACCAGGGACAAGGGTGGCTGGTGATTCTGCTGGCAGCTATAGATGGGTGACTGCCCTTCTGGACTCCACTGACCCCTTCCACACGGTGCCCAGGGGACATTCAAAGCCACATCCTAACCTCACTGGCTCCCCTACAGTATAAACTACTGTTCTAAGAATTTATCCCATTTTCCATATGGAAAAGTTGAGGCCCCAAGCCAAGATATGCTTTTTTTCCCTAGGTCATCCAGAATCCATTGGTGACTATTCACAAAGAAGCCTGGTCCTGTTCACCTGGGGTTTTCTAGGCAGGTTTATGTTGCTCAAAGGAGCCCAGACAGGCAGTGCTGGGGCTGGACTGATCTGGATTCCACACGGGAGGAAGCCGGGGCTCCTCCTTATTCCCTGCAGTCCTGGCCATGCCAGCTTGCCAGCTCTGTGATCTGCTCTCCTCTCAGCCTCGCCTCATCCCTGTGCCAGGGCCAAGCCACCTGCAGTTCCTTCCAAACCACCCGTAGTCAACCACAGAGGCCCAGGGGAACCCACAGGTTGGATCTGAGGGCGAGGGTGGTGGTAGGGCAGGACAGGCAGGAAGAGCCAACACAACCGAGAAAGATGCATGGAAACGGGTCCTCTAGCTCCATCACAGCCCAGCTAAGGGAAAATCCAAGCCGACTACTCTCTCATGTTCCAGACAAGCCTCTTCAGCACATTTTTCCCTTCTGAAAATATTCCTTAACAAAGAGCTGTATGCTTCTGGCAGGCCCAAACCAGCCCCACCGGGTCCCAAATGCTGAGAAGGAAGCTGTTTCACTTTGGCATAACATGTTGGTCGTGGGTGAAAGAACTCACATGGCCTGTCAGGGGGTGCCCCTGGGCAGCAGCATTGGCCCTGCCATCTGAGGCCAGCAGGTGTGATGGGGTCAGCATGCTGGTCCTACCAGTCTGGTCAGAGTTCAGGACCAGGGCCAGGAGCAGTCTGAATTCCCCCTATCACCAGGGGGTGGCATGAATCAGGGGGCAGGCAGCCGTTCTTTTTGGGTGACTTTGGTGTAGGAGAAAGAGTGCGTGTCCTTCCCTTGGAAGAAGGGCAAAGCAGGGAGAGATGGATAAAGGGGAAGAGGCCTGGAGTGTGTCCACAGGAGTTCTGGGAGATTCTGGGTCATTCCACCACCTCCAGGGCCACAACGGGAGTGCTGGCTCAGGGAGGCTGGTGTGGCTGGACAGGCTGGCTGCCTGGGGCAAGGGCAGTCAGCTCACACCTCCATGTCTCTGCTCTGCCAAAGCTGGAAGCTGCTGGGGACTCCAGGAGGGCTTGGGCAGGTGACGCCCAAGGAGGGGTGTGTGAAAATGTGTGTGTGTGTGTGCGCGCGCGTGTGTGTGTGCGCGTGTGTGTGTATGTGTGTGTGTGGAGGGGTTCAGAACATCTGTGTGTGTGTGGGGGGGGGGCAGGTTCCTGAGCATGATGTGAGGGTGGATTTCCAGGAAGGAATCAAGGTGAGTCTGGATCAGGGGTGTGTGTGGAGTTACTGGAGTGTGCTGGGGGGGGCACCCTGAGGAGTGATTTCTGGGGGGGTGTCCTTGGATAGGGGGCTTCTGGGAGTGGGAGATGAACCAGCAGGCTGAGGTAAGGCCTGTAGACAGGAATCCTGATTTACAGAGAGGCTAGGGAGGGGTCCTGTGGGGTCAGAAGGGAGGAGTAGGGAGGGCTCTGAGGCTGGTATCCTTGGGGGTGGCAGATCTAGGCCCAGAGATAGGATGGGTAGTGAGGGGAGGGAGGGGGTGGCATGGGGTCTACAGATGGGAGAGGTCCTAAGGGATAAGGACGGGGTGGG